AGAGAGAGAGAGAGAGAGAGAGAGAGAGGCGTTGCTCCATTTTGACTAAGGTTAGGATAACGGACTTGATATGTGCTCAACAGCATGACTGCGAATCATGCCGTTCAGCACATATCAAGTTCGTTATCCTAACCTTAGCCAAAATGGAGCGTGCGTGCTGATCCCGGCCACCTTCTCTTGCATCAGAAACTTGAGACTAGAGGAGGAGTTTGAAGAGAGAGAGAGAGAGAGAGAGAGAGAGAGAGAGAGAGAGAGAGAGAGAGAGAGAGAGAGAGAGAGAGAGAGTGCCCAACACGGGACTTGATATATGGTGAACAACATTACTGTTCTTCGTGAATCATCTCTAGCATAATGTTATCGACCTCTCTCTCTCTCTCTCTCTCTCTCTCTCTGAGTATGACATGTATATGATGTGACATACAGATTTGTAATATATATTGTTGTTATTATCGTACGTCGTCTGCCAGCTGCGTGTGTGTGTGTGTGCAACAATTATGTATAGACTATTCAGCGGAAATGGAAGTGACATTCACACCTCGTTTTTTGTCGACCCGCACACACACACACACACACATACACACACACACTGAATCATGATACGCGAGAAGAAAAAGAAAAAGAAAAAGAAGAAGAAGAAGAAGAAGAAGAAGAAGAAGAAGAAGAAGAAGAAGTAGACGAAAAAGAAAAAGAAAAAGAAGAAGAAAAATAAGTAGAAGATGTGCTGATCAAAGAAGAAGACGCACCTTGTGTTCCTCAACTTTGCATTATGCAAATCCGTTGCTCTGTTGCTTATGGTGAAACTTTGTGTGTTCGGCAGCTTCTTCGACTCCCCATTCGCAAGCAACGACTATGCGGTTGGCGCCAATGATTTTCCAATACTACCATTCCACGAAACTTCGTACGAGCGAGAACGTTTATTATTACGAGTCGCAAAATTCGGTTACAGAGCCTGTCGAACAAGTGTTGGAGTACAAAGACAGACACAAAATGGAGGATCGACATTTTTGTATTCGCTGTCGAAGACGAACGAGTTATAAGACTAACAACAGAGACTTACATTCATCATCATGCCATCGACCACATTCGGGTGCTCGTGTTCAGGCCCACTACGTACTTCAATAGCCTCGTTCTCAATCCTGTCGAAGGAGATAAAATGTATGATATTGTCTACCCACTTGTGTATCGTATATTGGAAACACACTACGACACTGTTTATCGAGACGGTGTGTGGCGGCTTGTTGTAAGTGCGCCATATTTTGTTTGCAATGACGAGGATTTCTCGGCCAAGTTCATTCCATCGTGTGGGATTCGGCGTTGACTTGCGCAACAATGCTTGCAGATTATCAGCACCACAACTTCGAAATGGACCAGCGCGCACAGGCTGGTGCACCCGACGACGACGAGGACTCTGTGAACCGCGGGCGCCGAGTTGTTCGCAGAGGGGCGATGCGTGGCTGAATGCGGTGCAGATTCGGGCCACATGGCCACGCCCGGCTTCGTTGGTCGAGACTGCAGTGACATACGTGAGATTGGACGAGAGGATGGATCAGTTTGTCGAGACTCCAGTAACATACGAGAGAGAGAGAGAGAGAGAGAGAGAGAGAGAGAGAGAGAGAGAGAGAGAGAGAGACGGATGGAGATGAAGAGAGAGACGTTCGTATTGTTTTGCATGTATCAATTTTGCCACAGGGGCACATATCTACATACGATCTCTCTCTCTCTATATATATATATATTCACAACCGGTTATCACAAAGTATATATATATATATATATATATATATATATTCACAACCGGTTATCACAAAGTGTACACAAAACATATATACAATTAGTTCTCACAAACAGTTATCACAACCAGTTCAAAATTACAACCAGTTCAAATCGAGGACATAACATTCTCATGATTATGACGATGACAATGGCATCGATGTAGTACGTGACACTATCACTCCTGCACAACGGACACCTCCTGCGAAAGCACGACGCCGTCAAAGTCGAGGCGGTGAGCAGCACCATCGTTGTCGGAGTCGGAAGACGACTTTTCGTCATCTGAAGCAGTTTCGCTTCCCGCCCCTACGAAAACATTGTCACCTTTGGCCACAACACCCTCCACTGCACTCTCAACGGCATCAGGGAGTCCATAATCAGCTTCCTCATCATAATGCTTAATAACTGGGTCGTCGACGTCCAATTGCTGCAGCATGTTCCGTGCCCAGTCTCCGACCCGTGGGCTGCCGAAAACTTCAGTTGCAATGTCGAAGCGCCACGACGTATCCCGTGCGGTGTATATATGCTGTCGTGCGGAGCGACGTCGATGGGTTACGTTTGTCGGTTTGCGGAAGACTGTGCGCAATCGCATGATTCGTTTGTTTTTGTTTCACTCCAAAGCGGTGCAACATACGCGCGCCTCATACGACTTGGGGAAGTTCAGGCGTTTCGTTGCGTACTTGTTGATCACGGAGTGGAAGCACTCGTTGTTGAAGCTCATCCTCGCATGTGTGTAGTACGCCATCTTCGTATTAGAAGCGAACTGTTCAAGACAGCGCGCGATGGCCAAATGAACACGTCCACCCGCCTCGTACAATGACTCTCTGTCCTAACCCCCGACCGCTTTGCACAGGTTGGACAACTCCTTATCGCAACGAGAATGATCCCCGGCCCAATTATTGGCGAGGTGTTGCACATGAGTGTCCAACACATCGCCATTGTCATCCTTTGCGCGCTCGCACAGCCTGCAAGCGCCGTACAACCACTCCTTCGCCTCCTCCGCCGCATTGCAATGCAGTGTTTGCAACGCGTCGATCTCGACGACATCATCTGGCAACGCCTTCCCTACTTCGTCGGGGAAGAGTACACCCCAAACAATCTCAACGAGTTCATCCTTTTTTTTCGTGGACACCCCTGCCACGCGTACACATTTCGTTTTGAGTCAAAGTTCGAGCTCCTTCTTTGTGAAACACTTCAACTTGCGCAAATGCTCACAAACCCCGACCACAGCTGGTTTGACAGTCTTCGTGTCGTGCACTGTCTCTCGCAAGCGTTTGACCAAAGTCTTCGCCTTATGCCACATACACTTTTGCAAGTCAATGTTCATTCGCCGCAATATGACGTCAACCGCGCCACAATCGCCATGCACAACCTCTGCGATTATGAGGTTCTTTTTGTCCTTCAACCGATGAAGCAGTTTCTCCACACACTGTGTGTCCAGCTTCCATGACGACTCGCTCCCCCGGCGCATGGTCTCCGTCCCCACGATCATTCCTGACTTCAAATCCACCACCGTCACTGTACAATGCTGAGCGTCACGAGACGAATCGTAACGCCCGTCCACCAAAATGACGACCGGATCGTTCGACCTGCGTAATCGCGTGATGACCTTGTCGAAGCTCTTTTGCGTAACCCGTTCGACGTGTCGAAGCCACTGTCTGGAACCTGGGCCGTCATCACGGAAAAAATTATAGAAAGTTTCTTTCCTAACCTTCTTCATCCCTAAGCCCCGCAGGAGGTTATTCAATTGAGTGTAAGTCATTCCCGCAGTCAAAGTGGAGTGAAACAATTGAGTCTCAACCCTCGAATTTCTCATCCCGCCCGGTGAAACAACCTTCGCAGAACTCCAGTGCCAAGTGCAACCTTTCCCGCACTCGAATTGCAACTTGCAAATGTGACATGGATAAGGTATCTTCGTGATCGTCACCTCCACGTCTTTCCCGTGCCAATGACACATTTGCTCGAACATCCCAAGAATCTGTAGAAGTTTCACCGGCTCAATGAAAACGACATCAGGTCTGGCCTTAGCATCCCACATGGCCATTTGGTCCCTCACGGTCAACCTTTAAAACATCGGACCATTATCCGAATATCCCGACTTACCGTCGCGCCATTTCAAAGCGTCACTGCGAGGTCTGCCACCTCGCGACTTTGGTCTCGCCGTTGCATCCGATCCTTGTTCGCATGAACCCCCATGGCCAGACGATTGCTCATCGGGGCCGTACTTTGACATCAGTTCATCAATGTGAACGGAACTCCACTCCAGGAGCTGATCGAACACGTCCTCATAGGAACAATGATTTCTTTTCTTATCTTTCGAGCCGCTAGTGCGAGTCGACAACTTCTTCCCCATCGCCTTTGCAATCTCACCCATGCGATTTTGCTGATCGAGTTTGCATCGCACCCAGCGAGGCTTGCCTTCACGAGGTGTACTGGACCTCGTACGGGGCGACCGAGGCGAGAAACTCATCCCAGCCTCAACGCCTCGTTATTATTAGACGGCGAAAGAACATCACGTGCACGGTTGGTGGAAACCGGAGTGCATGATGTCGGCTGCACTGCTTCGATCGACGAACGTGTCTCTTCTGTTCGCTGAACGGGATCCGATGCAAAGACACCCGCAACAGGAACCGCGCCGGTGTTGTCATGGCCCGAAGACGGGAACGATCGCGGCAAAGCAAATGGATGCGCGGCGTCTGAACGACTTTGTTGGACACCGCACATGGTCTGACTTGCGGACCAAGGCGTCGACAACATCGCTGCGAGAGAGCCCATGGGCGAAGAAAATGGAGGACGAGAAGAAACCACAGCGGATTACGCAAAAGGAGACGTTGCGGGATCGCCAACGAAACTGGGGAGAGCCGGGATTGCGGCAATGGTTGCGCGCATGTGACTCAGGAGAGAAGTTTGTGTGACAGTTGTCGAATTCAGCAGAGGAGGGAACGACAGAACCGCCATTCTGTCATCCAAACGTTGTCTGGTTGCAGGTCTCTCCAATATACAATCGGTTCGAGTACGTCCGCGTGGATCCCAAAGCCCTCTCCCTCGACCGCGTGAAATATCATGGTACACCGGAGAGTCTTGCAAAGAAGAGAGAGCATGTGAGGCGGATGGAGATGAAGAGAGAGGAGTGGG